TCTTGCTGTTGATAATCACTGGTAGTTCGATGAGATTAACTATTTGAGCTGGTCTGCAGATTATGCAGTGAGCAACTTAAACAAAGCACTAAGTGCACTGCACTGCACAACTGAGTTTTGTCCACTGTATTGAGAGAGTTAATCAGAAGATTTACACTAGCATTTAAGGTGATGTATGCACCTTTGAATGCTAGAGTTTGGCAACGTAAATTAAGAGAGTCTATCTTCGACGAGAGCTGAGTATAATCTGCCTACAGTTATATACAAGGCTTGCTGCGTGAATACGCACACACACACCTGCAGCGCTCCAAGTCGACCAAGCGCACACGCACAGAGCGTTGAGCCGACAGAGACTACAAGTGTACACAATGTACACAAAAGCCGGGCCTACTGTCGGTCGCTCTCATTTCCAACAGTCAGATAATAGTTAACTGTTTCGTATATTCGTTTATTATTGTTCAGCAACCATTAATCTTTTTACTTCAAAATTCATGATTAATTATCTTAAAAAAAATTTATATCATTTGGATAACCTACCCAGATACAGTTCCAGCTTTTGTGAGTTGCAAATTTTAATTCGAATATCATTTGAGAAATACCACCTGATTTCTCAGCTGAGATCTAGCTCGCCTGAGATTTTGGCATGAGAAATCACCTGACATCTCACTTGAGAAACCAAATGAGAAACCAGGTGAGATTTATAAGCAGGGGCACGCTCTTCGATACGAGTATCGCACTCGTCATAAGTCGTCTTATATATCGTAGCATTGGCGTCAGCAATCTCTTCACTCATTTCTGGTCAAGGTGCAAGAAAATGCGAAGTACCACCTCTATACTTTGTGCGGTCTGTCGCAATTTTGTAGCAGTACCGTTGCAGTAACCTTGCAAATTCTCCACCAGGTGGATTCGTGCCAAAAAGTTATATATTTATATGCATATTGAAACGGTTACATATATATATGTAGCGATAGTTATCGCCTTCTTAAGAGAGAAAAAGGTGTTTCGTCCCGAGAGCACGCCAGGACTCATCAGTAAGGTATACGTGTTCATAAGGATACGTTTCCACAAGCTAACGGATCCCTTGGCTTATCTGTAGGTATACGTGTCTATAAGGATACGTTTCCATAAGTATACGTGTCTCTTGGCCTATCTGTAGGCATACTTGGCCTTAAGGATACGTATCTGTAAGTTTATGTGCCAGTAAGCTTTTACGGAACTTTGAACTTAAACCAGCATGCGTGTACATATATATATATACAATTATACGTCAACGTAACTATGAGCTTAGGCGTATGTAGGTGTGTGCGTTTTTGTAAAGAACGTACGTAACAACGTATCCGCAGTCTTACGTATATTCATTCTTTTTTTCTTCAAATTCACGTAAATACGTGTGTCAACATAAATCTACGTGCCTGAACCCTGAACTTCAGTTCTCAAAGTGCTTGATAAAGTCGAAAATCCCAACCTTATATATCCACGTAATTACGTGGATTTGGTGCGAATAGACACAGCGTAACATAAAATATGACATATCTCCGGGAGCATTAAAGTCAATATTTAATATATTTAGCACCGCAGACGAGGAGAGTAAGTTTTTATATAATATATATTTTATTTATTTTGAAAACAGTACACTGTAGCGTATGTACACTGGTAGTAGTGTAACACTACAGGGTATGTTGGTATGTACAGTTGTACACTCAGTGGAATTGTGATCTGTCCTAGACCTTATTTCGGAACTATGGCGAGAAATACTGTTCAATAATAAGGTCCGGGACAGAACAAAGTTCCACTCACTACACTGGTAGTAGTTAGTCACATAGAGATATTATAGATACAGTAGGCAAGCCTGTAAGTGGAAGCGTTTACACGTTAAAAAGAGATGCAACATCGAGCCACCTTTCTATCTCTCTCTGTGCTCGCTGCTGATTAACGCTTCCACTTACAGAAGAATCGGTGGCTTGCCTACTCTATCTATAATATTTCTATGGTTAGACAGCGTTGGGTTAGGCGGATTCAATATCGGAACTTTTTCCCTAGATCGTATATATACCTATACGATCTAGGGAGAATGTTCCGTCGAGCAGACAGCAGAGAATAAAGGGGCATTGCTAAAGATGCGCGAAAATTAAAAATTTTAACATTATAACAAAAGGGCCTATCACTCAATGACCCGGGGCGCTAACCAGCTACACTATCATATTATAAAATATTAATTATTAACACAAGTGCCTATCACCCGATGACCTGGGGCGCTTACTCACCTGATGTCCCGGGGCCCTTA